CACGAATCGAGAAGCGTTGGCCTCATCCGTGGGCAATTGTTTGCGATGACCTTTTAAGGCTGGCATGTAGACAGTGAGACCCTGTTCCTCTAGCTGAGTCTTCACATCCCGGAAGCCTCGATCCACGAAACACATGTCACCCGCTCTCAAGAAACCGCCTAGACCAGTCGGGTCTCGCATCGCGTCCGCCATGATTTTGGCATCGTTGACATTCGCGTTGTAGGGTCCCAGCATGTCGATGACGTATCCAGTGGTTGTACAGATGGTAAACGGTTTACAAAGTGGCGCTTTCTTCTGTACTGAGTACGATTTTCTCTGGTACGAGTTGTTTGCGCTTTTACCGTGACGAATATACGTTCCATCGAATATCAGAGCCAAAGAATCTCTTGCTCCAAAGAGCTGTCTGACGAACTCTGATGTCTCAGTCTGGATCAAGTCCTCTCGCGCGCGAGCTGAGAATCCGAATCCGACAGGGAGAACGTCTTTCTCCCGAATCGTCGGACCTGCGGAGATCCTTGAGTCGCTGTTCCGGGATGGAGCTACCGTTCCTGATATCAACGAAGATAGTGACGAAGACTGATTCGGGATCTATGTCATGCTCCTAAGTATCATCGTAATAAAATATAAAAATCCCCGCCGGTCAATTCGATCGAAGTGTAGTACCAAGGAGGGCGCGCAGCGTCTGCTCGATGCTCGGGAAGATTCAAATGTGTCCCGCGAGATCCTGGGTCAGAGTCAGACCAGGGAATAGCGATTGGGAGGGGCAATGGGCGTTTACTAAAAAACCATGGAAATCAGTGGTAGGGAATGAAGTGTTCGCGAATGAACCTATTTGGACTATTCCGATTTTGATGAAAATTGGTGTGCGTGTACTATGGGTTTACGGGGTTTATTTGTGACATAGTGTCATCCATGTTCACGAAGGTCTTCGGTGTCTGGGAGCTTGAAGAAATTAAAAATTCGGAAAAAAATGATGATGAAAAGTACTGAGGAAAATGGGACCGGGCTAGAATTGTGGCATTTTTCGCCAGCTTTCCAACGAGACCAAGCACGACCCTCTAGCTCTTACCGTTTTCGAGAAAATCGCATTTTAAGATTTTCGAACTTGGGCCGTTTTCTCGAAACTGGCCGCGTCGATTTCTGGGAGACTCGTGAAAAAGTCTTCTACTAACCGAGAGCTATCACCCTATCTAGTCAGTTTTCCAAAACAGATCGTAGCCGGGATCGCCACGTTATTCGGCTGTACCCTTTGCAGCTCGTTCCGGGAAATTCCGCATGTGTCCCCGTTGGAATTAGGATGAAGGAAGACGGAGGGTCATAGGGGGCGCGCTTTGCAGAGCTTAGATCCAGGTTCAAGTTCCGGGAATGTCATGCATAGGGTCTTCGAGTCCGAATATAAGCCAGCAGGGGTGCTTGATCCGAATCTTTTTCTTGATTTATCCCTGAGAGATTCGGAGCCCCGAGAGCCCGGCCAATGAGTCCGGTAGACACCGATCGCGTTTCTCCTGAGCAGCGGGTATGGGACTGACTCGACTGATGCATGAGGTTCACCCATGAATTTTATCTATCATACGTGATCGGAGCATTCGAAGCTAACGCATCGAGTAACCTTGCGGGGCATCATTCGATTTCAGATGATATGAGCGTATACACGGTAAGCCTCCAGGATGGGTCACACAAAGTTTGCTTATCGGAGCGGTCGTGGAGTTTTCGGTCGCGGTTTCCGGCGACGTGCCACGGTTGTCTTGGCCGCATTAGTATTCGTGGTCCTTGTGAACACCACCGCCGCGCTGATCGCGTCCGACTTCAACGCACATGTGAGCATAGGAATTAAGAAAACTGAGCTCAAATAACTAGGAGAAGCCATCATGAATACCGGGCGGTCGATTCTTCGGAGAGAACTCAGTCCCTCGATTGCAGAGTGCCTGGAAGCTCGTGTGGACCAATCGTGCCTTCATGTTCCGAGAGTCCAATGTTACAACCACCACAGTTTCCACGGTTATTAGTACAGGCTTCGATATGCCGACATTCAATCTTCGGAACGTCAGGTAAGAATGACGGATTCGAACGTGTATCGAGCGGAGTTATTCCGGGCTACCGGGAGAGATTCTCCACCAACATGTGTATGATGACCTAATTTATCCCAAAACTCACCAAGACTGAGGATGCCTGCTCGGTAGAAGCCGCTCAAGATTCATATTTCCCTCAGATTGGACCGGTCGGGGCACTATCGAATTTTCGAAGACGTCGTAGTAGCCGAGGACCAGGAGTCCACTTCGAGATCCCAAGTGTGTTTGGCGACTCTCTCGTCGATGGATCGTCTCCTGGGTCTCATGGATATCGCTCAGCACTGGGACGGACCTGTGTCGATCGCGGTTTTCATCCGGACCACCGAAGAGCTCCAGGCTCTCCGCCAATTCATTCGGATACTCGGTATCTGTTCGGATGCGGTGCGTCTGAACTTCGCCTTCCACCTCGTCCTTCCGATCAGCAATCGGAGCCGGATCGATCTCCACGCAAAAGATATCGTGAGTCGATCGAGCGAGTCGACCTCGTGCGCAGACCAGCTTAAATCTCTTTTGCCGGCTCCCCCGCCTGTGCCCATGAAATCTCTGAAGAACGTCGATCTCCTGAAGCTTCTGTTCCCTCAAAACCATCTGCGAAACGTGGCCCGCGACGGATGCGAAAGGATGGGATCGAGGTTCTTCTTCTTGACAGACATCGATATCATACCGAAACCAGCCCTAGCGTCCCAACTCAACGAGTTCCTGCAACCACGACAAGCCAGCAAAGAGATATTTGTGGTGCCCACGTACGAGATGCATGATCATGCCGAGATGCCCCAGAGCAAAACAGACCTTCTAAAAATGGTCTCTGTGGGCTATGCGAGACCGTTCCATAAAATTGTGTTCATACATAACCAGTACGCCACCAACCACGATCTGTGGGAGCGTATTCCCAGAAAGAGTCCCGACAAGATACACGTCGCATATAAAATCAATAACTACGAATTTTTCTACGAGCCCTTCTACGTCGCCCCCTTCAGCGTTCCTCGTCACGATGAACGCTTTGTGGGTTACGGCTTCACTCGAAACACACAGGTGTACGAGACTTACCGAGCGGGGTTCTCGTTTCAAGTCCTCGACGAGGCATTCGCCGTTCACCGCGGCATCCAGACTAGGAAGGGCCGGGGCTTCTGGCGCGAGAAACAAAACGTTCAGAATAGAAGACATTTCCTCCAATTCAAAAAAGACATGCAGACACGCTATGGCACAGCCAAAGCGACCGTGTAGTCTCCTGAAGATCGACGCAAGGTATCAGTGATGTTACTATTGCGTAAACGTATTCCTGATATGGGTGTGACGGTTATTGTGATGAGCGGGAGGACATCCTGAAACGATTGATAAAGGAAAAGTGAGATAGGAGGGAAGAACAGACAGCAGCGTGCTCCTCTAGCTCAAGCTTATTGTGATCGCTGATCATAGGTACCTAATGGGGAACGAGAGCGTTTCTCGAGAGAGAGTACAATATCTCGAAGACCAGAAAATCAAGTTCTGAACAGCCTAGCGGAAAGCACATTTCGAAAACTATCTTCTGAGCTCGAGCTCTCTCTCCCAGCGAAACGCACTCTCTCTCGACGTGCCGACCCCGCAAGCCTGAAATGTGGATTTTGAATCTTCGATGTGTTCGTCTAGCTCGTCTTCGCAACTCCTCCGACAGAATTCCAGACATGACTCGCCAGAAAAGTCTGCAAGTCGATTCGAATCGCAATTGCTGTATGTACACTCATTGTAGTGCGGCAAGAGACCAACTAATTCCTCCGGACTAGCACCTTTCGGGAACAGAACTTCGGGTAGTTCTCGCGAAGCCCCAACCTCGGGGAACGGATTAACTTACTGTTATCGTCCGGGAATGCAATCTCTCTATCTCCGACCCTGTTGACGACACCGTAAATTTTATCGACGGAGACATCAATTCGAAGTATATGAAGAACTCCTCGAAATGTGCCTCATGATGATCCTCAGACGTGGAAACGTCTCGGAGCTCTCTAGTAGCATCGATGATCCGCGTCAGAATGTTGTGAAAGAATGAGGCGAATTGTATAAAATGTAATATTGTCAACTCTACGTGAAATGCGATCAGATTTGATGCTGCACCAGTTTTCCAAGAAATACAAACCCCTAGACAGCCTTGCAATAAAGGTTGCGAATCGAGAAGCCGGCGAATCTTGCGGGCCCTATGAAGGGAGAAAATGTAAAGAAATTTTCGACCGGTAAGGGGAAGGGAATTCCAGCATGAAATAAACTGAGGCTTCATTTGCGAACCTTCATTCTCTCGTCAAACTCGAATAGCCCACAAGAGGTAGCGCTGCGACCCGAAAAGAAAAAATCGTCTCACGGGTCATGAACGGGGAATTATTCTTCATAGAGATCCAAGATGGGTGCCATCGCTTCGGAATGGCGGAAGGAGAGTCGAGGGCGCTAAAGAGGATCCGAGGACCGAAGCCAAGCGTCGCGTTCGACGCGAAAACAGTCGTCGCACCAAATCATCAAGCCTCCTACGCCAGAGCATCGAATTAAACTCGTGGCGGACGCTTCCCCATTCTTGCCTCGCGTGGACAGTCTCAAGCATCTTAGTTTCAACTGACCAACAACCAGACACACGTACCCTCACAGACACGAGCTGAACGAGAGCACAAACGATGAATAAACAAAAAACGGCCACTTACTTAAAAAGACCGACAGTTTAAACAAGAAAGGCTCGCCAAAGAGGTGGCGAAATTCGACGGGTGTGTTTCAGTGGCGGGTCCAGTCATAGAAATAGAGCTGTCTATAAACAACGACCTCATTAAAAGGTGAGAACCCATTCTCATAATTTCAACCAGAGCCATGAAAGCGATTTCGGCGGAAAACACGTGGGAGTCTCACGGTGATTCAGATGATTGACGTCCAGAGAGCTCAGACCACCTAATCATCGGTCGGTCACTCGGTGCAACATCTCAGCCCCATATACCTCTTGTCGGATCGATCACATTAGGATTTATGAGCCGGGGTTGACGACCCGGGAACCTCGAGGCTATCGAGGAGACGAGGCTCGGGAACATGTCTGAAGGTGCTACGTCGACGTCCTGTTGAAGGTCAGCATGACTTATTGATGAGGTTTTTCTATCACAAGACGCCTCAAAAACTTCCGTGTCAGACATCTGCTCATAAATACACTTTGAAACGATCGACAGGTTTCACGGCATTCCGAGGGAAAAATCGCTTTCGCTTGCTACGAAACCTTGGCTCTTGATGGTTCGAGATGTCTAGCCTTGCTGTGTCTATCTCAACGAGCTGGAATTTCGGCGATAGTAGACTCCGCACGCGCTCAAAGTCCATTGGGAAGGTCTCGGAACGCAAGACGAGACTTGAACTCGTCCAACCGACTGACAGACGAGGCTGATGGTTGGGAAAAATGGAAGAAAGCTCCCAGGTAACGATCTCGGTCCCTTCGTTTTCGGATCGATAAAGCCGGATGGTTTGTTTTCTATTCCGACGGGGAAGTCGGAGAACAATCCTCAAGGGGAAAACGAGGGTGGAAGGTACGGAAGGGAAGCCGGGTCAGGTAGCTATCTCGTCCCATCCCAGCTGTTCCGGGCTCTTCGAGGCTGACACGCGTGGCGGAGGACATCCCTGGTGTACCGCTCGGACGGTTTCGCAGACGTCCGAGAGAATCAATAAGCCGTTCATATCGCGTCCGACCCCGGTCTGAGGAGTTGAGCTGCGCAAACAGCGGCGCCCCGTAAAATCAGAGCCGGTCTAATCTGGGACAATTCATTAAACTTAGCGGGCGTCCCTAAATTACGGGAGAGGCTCGCGCTGTCTCTGCCTCCGCTATTTCTCTTCTCGGCATTTTCTCGGTGAACGTCTTGTCTTCCCCGTTTTGTCTCGACGGCCGACGTGTACATCACCGGAGGGGCAACGACTACTGAGCGTGACAAAAGGAGGCCTTCGCACCGGTCTGTTATTCTCACTTATCTCACTCTAAGAAAAAGAAGAACAAGCCCGCGAGCGGGAGAGCAAAGTGCCCGATACGAGAGACTCCTCAACTAATTTCTCGATGGGCTCGTACGTTGCCGTGTTCAGCAGGTCGAGCGGCAATTCATTCTATTGATGCAGCTCCGGGAGGCGCCAGGTTGTTCGACGCATCACCGTTTGTCAACATTGTATCTCGCTAGAGGGGCTCGGATGCCATTAGCATAAATGAGCTCTTCCTGCTCGTTAATAGCCATCGTTATCGCGTGATTCGTTCGACAACTTACGACGCGAAAACAGCTCAGAGTCTACGTCATATATTCTGGAAGCCCCTGAATGGGATCCATGCTCAGGGTCGGGACTCGAGCGTTTGAGGAGAATCGAAATTCCCCTGAGCACGCTCACAGAGCCTCGAATCCCGAAGATAACCGAAATTTCCTCCGCATACTTTTCGTCAAGCCCTCACGGCTCGATGGAAAATCTCGGTGGATCCGAGCAGAGGGCCCTCGCTGTCCCCATACATGAGCCCAGAATCCCAGAGCCGCAACCCGAGCGGCTTGGGGCTGATACGCCGCGCGTCACGATGCGATCCAGTCAGCCCAATGAATGAAGTGACCGGCACAACATGGTTTCATTGGCGCCGAACGAGCGAGTAATGTTCGTTCTGCCCATGATAGAGATCTCTTCAGTGAAAAGTTCTCGCGTACCTCAAACACACTCACGGGCTTGGCTCGTCGATCATATCTGGCTGGTGAGCAGATTTTCGGAGCGTCCGCTCCGAATTCTTCGCCTCGAACGACGTTTCGTGGGTGAGTATCAAACGAATGTCAAACGAGAAAGAAAAATTCGGGCCGAGACTTTCGGTCGTTTCACTCTGATCGGACTGGAGAATGTCGTCGCTGTCTTCAGAGAATCCCTTCTCCCGCGCAATCATCGTCACCGTGCCCGTCATCACGGTCAAGAAATGTCTTAGCTCGAACAACGGCGGGTCGAGAAATCGAGCAAACAAACTGTTGAGACTCCGCAACAAACCGCCAACAGTTTCGCGTGCGACATTGTCGTCATAAGGTATATGTATCCAGTCATCGCCTCTCGTGTCCCGGTTGAGTCGGGCCATTCGTCAGAACTCTTGCTGGTTTGGATCATGAAATCGGTCGACCCTCTGACAGACTCTTTCGGATAGATGGAGCCGTTGGGCGATATAACACCACGTCGCGAGCGTAGGGTAATGGATGCGTCGACACGGTCTCTCGGTCGTCAGGCGACAGAGCGCGAGAGGCTGAAATGAGAGTGAAAGTGCGCGGGAAAAGATAGATAGTAGACTGATAGTTGTCCCGCAACCCCGCGGAGGAGAGCGTGCGAGAGGGTGTAGTTTGTGTTTCGGTTTGTCGTCGCGGGCCAATATTTCCCGGCAGGCACAGCAGCGACGGAAGCATCGACGCCTACCCCAACAGAGACAGTAGCACCCGAATGGAACGTCGAACCGAAACTGTTGCCGTGGAGTGGAGAAGAATGGCGAGTTAGCAACCCGCTTATTTGGCCGCAATAGTATCCGCATTGCCTCCGATGTGCTGCTTCCGATTGGTGTTTGTCGCTCGGTGTCTCTGTCGTTTCTGAGCGTTCGTCGATACTGCATCGCTGTGCAGATTCCACGTCCGACGCCCGTTCCGGGCGTAAATGGAATAGTACCTCATGGGAGACAAACGTGCCGCGGACGGCAGATGAATTATCTTATTTCTTGCACCTACGCTCGGTTCTACCGAATCTTTCGGCACTCGTTCATATGGTTTTCAGTTATTTTATCTCTCGAATCGGTGAGCGGATTCCCTATGGATCCGTGTCCGAGCGCAGCGCAATGAATCAGTTCGCTTACCGGCCCGGTCCGTCGGCTGGTCTTCTTTCGGTCAACGAGACCACCCGAGAATCATTTTGCCCGAAAGTTGCGGCTTCAGTGATTCAAAAATGAAAAGACCGTTTGTCATTCCCCGCTGGGCTCGATTCGCTGACGCCGGCGCTTTTCTGCCGTGAACGGATTACACGATCTGTGAATACATACAGACTCGTTCCAGAAAGTGACCGACCGGTATAAGCGCGGACGCTCAGCGTTTTTCTCACAGTTTCGAAGATCGATTAAGCGCTCAATCACAGACATTCCCGATCCGGGTCTCCATTGCAGTGTGTTTCAACAGGACATATTTCTGTTCCGCGCGTTTATTGAGGGGGATCGTTCGGATCCACCGACGTCATTCCCCGCTCTAAACGCCCCCCCCCCTAAGAGGAACGTCCTCCATTGACTCCGCAGCAAGTCTCATTCATTGAAATTGCCTCGCTCTTCCGCGGTAGCCAGAGGCTCTTCTTGAGATCGCAGCCGTCTTTCGCGGAGACTTGACTCGAGCTCAAATCGAAAGCACTCACCCTGACTCGGGTGGATAGCCA